GTGGTGAATTGGGCGACGCGTTTCGAATACGGTCTGCATCCATTATCAAGGCTGAGTGTTGTGTGAATTGCGATTACTGTTAGTGGATATTTATAGGCAATTGGGTGGTGGTATTTAGCTCATTAGGTGGCGCTGTCAACTACACTGGAAGGCGTTGATTGGTGGAGTGTTGTATTGTGGCTTGGGGGTTTCTCGCCAAGAAGTAGCAGTGTGCGTTCTGTTCTAGTCGATTGTTTGTTAATTGTGGGGGTTTGCTGTAGGATCTGTATGGCCTCGTGTATCTGGAGCGTTGTGAAGTCGTTAAATCGGCGTTTTACTTTAGTGTTTTATACTAGGTCCTGACGTGTGAGTTTTTGGTTGTGGATGCGGGCACAATGTTCTTTGATGGCTCCATTTTGTAGGTCTTATTCAACAAAAAATACCAGCAAACTAAATTTATGTGATCAGTATTTCACGTTTTGATGATATGAAGTCACGATCTTTCATATAAGTTAGTACATATGGATATATAATATTTAATAAAACAAAACCAAAACACATTTGTTATCGGTCATATGCACCTTTTTTACGCTGTTCCTTCGCATACTTCTCTTTTAACCTAACAAATTCAAGTCAAAGAGTCATTACAGACCAACTGTATTTTTTCCACAGAGACGATCTTAAAAACATGTTCAACAATTACCAGATATTTATTTAGAAATAATTGTAAATACTTAAAAACATTTTATCTATATCTACTTTTTTTATTTAATTGATTTTCCCAGCTATCCAATACAGACTCGTGTTTATTTAACGTCCGTTGTATGACTGACGAATATGACAGTTTAAATAATAAACCGCTCTTGCATTACTTCAATGACGAAAGCCTCAAACTGATTTTTTCTGTGCGAAAATAAACACCCAAGTAACTTTATACTCGATAATACCTTTATTGCTAATAATTAGAAAAAATTAAAACTGATTTTTGTATTTACAGTACCAGTGTAGAAATTAAAATTCACACTTCTTGAAGCATTTTCTCGTCATTGTTGTTTTTTAGCGCAAAACTGCACAATAAGATATCTGCATTCTGACCACCAAGAGGAATCGAAGCCCGGATTTCAGAACTGTAATACCGTAAATTTACTGCTGTATAAATTTACCGTATAATTCATGTTTGACAATAGTAGTGTTACTGGCACATCTAGTAAGAAAATTCGTGCTTAGTATTATTTTATTATTATTCAAAGGAAAAAGGAAGTCTTGTTTGTGGTAGTTTGCTGAACAAAAAGTAAATTTTATTCTCCTATTATGTTGGGAAAGTCACGGTAAAACTTGATATTAATTGCTATGTTGAAAAATTTACGCGGAACCCGGATGATGATTATTATGTTGGGAAAGTCACGGTAAAACTGGATAGTAATTGCTATGTTGAAAAATTTACGCGGAACCCGGATAATGATTATTATGTTGAGAAAGTCACAGGAAAAACTGGATTATGATTATTATGCTGAGAAAGCAAATTGAAAACTAGATAATAATAATTATTTTGTTGAGAAAGTTATGGAAAACTGGATAATGATTATTATGTTGAGAAAATCCCAGGAAACTGGATAATAATTACTATGTTAAAAAAGACACAGGAAAACTGGATAATGTGTAACTTTGTTTTGTAAATCGAATAAAACCCGAATATACAAAAATAAATAAATATTATAGTTTAATTCAAGATTTATATCAATAGATAAAATAACCAATATTATCTAAAGAAATAAAAAAAGCATATCAAAGTCCATGTCTGAGTCGTTCTTGACACACATTACGAAAGTACCAAACACATATACACATATGACATTCCCTCGTAATCTCTCGTCAAAACTAGAACATGAGCCCGATCACGCACGCACGCCCACACTAAAACACATTTGAACTTTTTATAGTGGTACCGTCATAAAATTAAAAACAATTTATATTAAAAACTCCAAGAGGAATTCACTTAGGCCTACTCCGAACATCGAATTTTATGAGTTGCAAATATATATATTTGAATAATATTTATATCATATGCCTAAACCCATCAAAGGAATATTTAAAAAGTCTTAAAATAAAAAGATGGCATTTACTAGACGTTTAATAAACATATTTGCAAAAACACACACACAGGGTTTGTTGACACTGAGTAATTAAAACTGAAACAGGTGTGTATGAGCGTGTGTCAAAGCGCCGTCTTCCAGGTGATTATTCAATTACACAAAAACAGTTGATCAAGCCAACCACGCGAGAGAATATTCATATTGTTTTATCTTTCACATTAAGGTCCACATTAACGAGCATAAGTAATCACGGCATATAATCTTATTGACTACAGATATCAGTATTAAATCAATGTGATGTTTTGTATGGGCAATTTAACTAGAAAATAGTTTTAAATTTGTTTATTGTTTACTAGTTGCTAAGAGAGGTGTGCATATTTGTACTTAGATGTTTTTATTTCGAAACAGGATGTAAAATAGTAGATTTTCATATGCTGGAAAATATTCCTGATTCATCTTCAAAACCATAAGAGTCGACTAATTCTTCGGAAAAAAAAAATAGGTTTTTGCTAGGTGCTTTGTTAACTTTTCTGAACGATTGCGATTTAATGAAAAAATAAATTAAAAAATTGAGAGTGGTGCTGCCATCTCCAGAATAAAAAATGAACATCCTTTGTTTAAGGAACATTTTGTTGGCTTTCAGTTCAAACAAATTTTTTCAACTTCGTATTTTCTTATTTTTTGAATTTTTTATAGTGTATAGAATTAGATTGTTTAAATCTGGTTCTGTATATTATTATATGTTTAAAGCTTTTTAACACGTTTAGAAGCCAGCCATCAGCCAAGAAAAATATTTATTTTCTTCTTCGAGTGCAGGTGTAGTAGACAGAGTTGTATGCGCCACATCAAAGTACGTGGAATGTTTTGTTCTACAGTTATTGAATTTGACCAGCAAGAATGTGTCTCCGAGATCTACAAAGCAGTTTACTGAAAACATAAAGATACCCTCTTTCGACTGTACGAGTCGTTAGGTTTATTGAAAACACCACCTTTAACATATTTCGTAGATTTGATTTTACCAAAATTCGTTGATCAAATATTCATCCTTCTTCTTTCCAGCTGTTCTTATGTCAATTTTTGTAAACACATATTATACAAAGGGAAGAAGGAAGATATTTATCATCTCATAACTCGTGTATGATTTGATTTAGAATGACAGTATTCTATATTTGCGGACCTGTATTGAAGTACATGAAATTGTGACTAAGACTAACTTGGTTCACACGTGAAGTGGTGTTGTGATGTTTGTTTTTGAGTAACTTTTTTTACTCGTGCTAGAGGAACTTATTGTTTCGACACATCTCATCACAGCCCTAGGTATATCAAATTGTCCTGCTTGATCAAAATTTAAATTTCGGCTGCTACTTCAAAGTGGTATCATCATTTCGGAATAAGAATTTTTCTTCTCGATTTCCATTTTAGAATTATCTCTGAGAATGGAGAAGACGATATGAGTTGTATCTGTCTGCCTGTTTACGTACCATTAGTTATCATATTACTCCGCAGTCTCTCTTATAAATATTTCTCTCTACCTGCATACTAAATACCATAGACTAAACAGTGTACATTATATAATCGAATGTTCTTTTAGAAGTGAAATTTAGCACTACACACGCTTGGTTACTTTTGATAATTTCTGGCCAAAAATATAATTATATAGACCAGATCTAAAAAAGGTAATGGATAAGTTAATGCCTTTTACTTTTGTCTTTGGGATCTTCATTCTTTGTGATACACAAGCATCAATAGAAACATATTGGAGAGTATAGAGGCTAAGTTTTTAGAACCTATTCAATTGTTATACACACAGTAAAATAGTAAAAAAAATAATGGACAGATATGTGAATTCAGTAAAAATAGAAAACGAGACTGAAATAAGTATGAGCGAGCAGAAAAAAAGGAAAAAGTGGTTCACCTTGGGTTTGGAAATTTGAACCATGTGACTCGAATATATAAACAAAGTTATTGCGAATAATCTCGTTACTTTCCATCACTAATGCACAGGAACCTTTCTTGTAAACTCAGTCTGTTTCCAGTCCGTTGAAAAATTTCTTTGACAACGTCGGCAATCTAAGCCGTCATTGTACATCAATGCCAGACGCCACCAGAGCCTGACAATGTGTCATCTTATTTGTCTATGGAAAATATTTACTCTTGAATTTTATAACTTGTTTTGAAAGCACTGTGTTCCTTCGAGTATCTAAATCATTACATTACATTGTCACACCCGTGTTATTTGTTGTTTGTTTGAGTCACTGAAAGTGAACTCCGCTCTCGATATTTCGTGTCATTCTTCTGTTTATAAGCCCAGAAGTATCATTAATTAACGAATGAGCTAACACTAGTAGGCCGGCGATATCTTAATGGTGAATTTGAAATCGACTAAATAAAACTGAGCAACACAAAAAATGCGGACTAGGCATAATTCTATTTCACTTTAGACTTATAACTCATTTAAATAATAGAAATAATTTTAAATATATTGCCATGAGTTCCGCAAAAGAAGATAAAGTTAATCTTAAGTGAAAGAGATCAAATTATTTAGTATTCTGGTTATACAATCAACTTTACTAAACCACTTAACTAATCAACACAGGATTAATCCCTAAACCAGAGATGAAATAGTGTTTTTGGATGGCAGGGAATGTAACAAGAAATTCTGGTTATACAATTAACTTTACTAAACCATTTAAATAATCAACACAGGATTAATCCCTCAACCAGAGATGAAATAGTGTTTTTGGATGGCAGGAAAAGTAACAAGAAATTTTGGTTATACAATTAACTCTACTAAACCACTTAAATAATCAACACAGGATTAATCCCTCAACCAGAGATAAAATAGTGTTTTTGGATGGCAGGGAATGTAACAAGAAATTCTGGTGATTGTTTTAGGAGATGATGTATACACCATTGGAACGTCCGAAATCTGCTGTTTCAGTCAGAAGTTATATATATATAAGTAGTCAAAGAAACGAAGAGACAAACAGTTTTGGAGTGTCTGCACCACATTACTAGCAACTGTCACACGCACTAGCTGATTATCTCTTTTTGATTCGCAAATCAAATTATGCGATCTTTCTTCATTGTCTGTTTGAATTTGGAGGCTTGCACTTGTTCTTCTGATCTGAAGGACGGCTACTGCTATCGTTACTATCATTGCCAGCATCAAACCAATTTTTGAGTGCCACCACAGCATCTTTGGGCTTGATAGATGAATTTGCTCCATCAAGGGCTGTCAAAAAAAGTCCATTGTGAACAGGTTAAAAGTCGAACATCTCGAACTTACAAGTAATGAAGAAACTAATGGTGATTGATGATGACATACCGAAGAGTAAAAGAGTTCCAGTCACGGTCAGCGAGTCTTGGAGATATCTACTGAAGATCTGTTGGGCTCTGGTCTAAAATTTAATAAAAAAAGGTGGAACGACGGGCGAAGAATAAGAAGACTTACATAACCTGTAGGTGTTTAACACTAGACACATCTTTACTCGAGCTGTTGTTATAAATTATCTACGTCAGATGTAGACATATGTAACCTGTAGGTGTCTAACACTAGACACATCTTTACTCGAGCTGTTGCTAGGTTATCTACGTCAGATGTAGGCGTATGTGTCTCACACACAACTCAGGTCTTTAGTCGGGCTGACGTTCTACGTCTTTACACGGCTATTGTTTAAAATACGTAACACAATGTAATTTCCAGTTGACTTTTGTGCTAAAAGAAAAAAAAATCATAAAAACTACACTGAAGATTTCCAAAAAAACGAAAATAAAATATGGCAAGATATTCTCTTGACACAGTGTATGAAATAGGCACGTGTATGACCTAATTTAGTGATGAATACTTGAAGTTAAGCAAACAAAATGTTTATTAGTAGATTAAAGAGTTAACTGTAAAATGAGTTCACTATAACATATTTTTTACAGTTTTGCTTGTACTTTATTGCGATCTGTATATTTTCGTAGTTAATGTGTATCAATTATATTTCAATAGGTTAGACTTTAATTATTCTGCATGAGTGTGTAGACTAAGCTGTTTAATAATTTTAATGCCGAAATACTGCAGTCCATCAGACAAAGGTGAAGAGAGTAATTAACTAATTTTAAAAAAAATCTAGTCACCTTCAGTATATTATATAATTTTTTACGTGCACAATAATATGTGAATATTATGTATTCAGTCTGTCATTTATTTTTACTGTGAACTTCTAGGGCTAAAAGAGTAGTCTCTAATTTTTATTATTATCCAATAGATGATTTAATTGAGATAAAAATAATTTTCTATATATAGAAACTATTTGTTTGTTAATCCTTTAATCACAAAGTTTATCTTTAATGCTCTTGACACGCAAGTCAATGGTAATTTTCCTTACTTAAAGGGCCCGACAATGTTTACCTTTTTACATGCGTAATAGTCTATCTAAATATATTTGTCTCTATTCTATATGGCCCGGCATGACCAGGTGGTTAGGG